TCATGTTAGTAGCACTGTGCCGAGATCAGACAAGCAAGCGAGTAAGTGAGAACACACATGCTTACTAGGTGTCAACACCTTTGCCTCTATACGGTTTGTCTTGCAGGCCCAGCTAAGAAACGCCATGCTTTGTTTCACGTGCCTCGTTGCTTACAGGCACTCTTGTCGTAGTTGACCTGGTGGACGGGTGGAACTGATCCTCTCCATCTCTCGGCCGTGCGTGTTCCGCGCACCAGCGCGGCCGTGCGACTTATCTAACCGAATCATCCCTTGTGGAAAAAATTCGCGGGAGGTGCAAATGATCAAGAGCTTTACGTGGCGTAGCGAGAGGGACCTGCACCAGCACTGCGCTGTTTAGTTCACAGAGCGCCAGTGCTGACTTTGGTCCCGGAGTCTTTCAGACTGTGTCCGTGACAGAACGACGAGACATGGACGATGATGATGATGATAGTAATGATGATGATGACGATGACGACGGCGCTGTTGACATTGATGATGGTGGTGAATGAATGGTGCTGTCGACAGTTTACCACACGGTTGCTACATGCTTGTGACGGTGGCATCGGCGGCGACCACTACGACTGTAGGTTACAATTATTCCATTCGTACTGAGCGCTTCGGGCTTTATAAGGGGTATTGCAACTGCATACGAAGCCATGGGGTTGGAGGCGAAATCCTTGCGTCGCCTTCGGCGCCACTTCTGCTGGATGTGTGCCTTGCTACGACATGGGGACAGGCTTTGCGAGGGAGGCTGGGAGCACGGCAACGTTAGAATTGAAATGTGTATTATATTTGTCAGTCATAGAATCTTATACATAGTATTCAACATGTAAGCCTCATGCGCTGAGTTGACTCGGGATTGTGGGCACTCCGGCTTGTTTGATTGAGTGCATGCCGACATTGGGCAGATGTGGGGAGAGGTTCACTACAAAAGCGATGGTCGCGCCAAACTTCACTGTAGAGACTTCAGGACCTTGACTTGGTCTTTCAGGGTCTAGGGCCCTTGTGTAAGAGTGCAGGATTCAGGGTCTGGGCGGGACCCCGGGCCAAACAAGATTTAGGATCTGGCTGCTCGAGTTTCGGTTCTTGAATGTTTTGGATGTTGATGGTCTAAAAGCCAGAAGCTGGATTCTGACAGGAAGTGTTAAATTATGGGATTCCACCCCGGGTTCACCTCCGTTGAACGTTGAGTACCGCTGGAGCTCCGTCGATGCGAGCCTCCTTCCGGAGGCTGAAACTCGTACTAGATACCTACATATTTGGTCATGTTTGCTTGTTTCATTTCGCCCATTTCTGTTCTTCCACAGCATCGAGCGAGGTATGCTACTTGGTGTGGGCCATGCAAGTTTTGGCCTGAGCTTGTTGGCAGGAGGGAGGGCAGGTGCGCAAGATTCGGTTTGCAATGATGAGAGTATATGCTCTTCCTGGGCACAGTCGGCTGGCGGTGAATATATACATGATGTAGTGCAATATTCGGACAGCCGCAAATAGGCCTGTCTGCACCTTGGACTCGACTTGTAGCGGCCACTAGTGATTCAGTTGCTATGCACGAATGACATGTACCAAGACAGTCGTAGCATCAGGATTCTGCCCAGGGAGGAGCCCTCGCAGGGCCCGAATCCTAATCGTCCAATGCCTTGCACTCGAGAAAGCCGAGCGGCTTTAGACAAGAACCGCAAAGCTTTCTAACATTGAAAGTCAAAGACGGGTCATAAACTCATCGGCTCTCCATTTCTGCAAGCTCGTCCCCTGAACATAAGATTCAGGCATGTTGTTGGAGACTAGCTGCCTAGCTATATGACTAAGAGGCCTTTGCAAGCGAACCACCCGAAGGCCTCATGTGATGCCTCTGTGAGCGCCGAAAACCCCTAAGCACGCCTACGGCAGTGGAAGGCTTGGAGCGAAGATAACCCCCAAACCCGCCCCTAAAAAAGACACCGATACCCTGAAAACCGTATCCGACACTGCGATTTTTCAGGTTTATGGAGCCGGAGATGGCAAAAGCGGCTACCAGAGTCGGGAGCAAGGCGCCACTTTCGATTCTGAGGGGTGGGGGGTCGGGGTCGTTCATAGGCGGCGGCGAAGCCGACTCCACAAGGCAATGGAAAGGGTGCGACTCCGATTCGGGGAGTTTGATTTGGTTCAGAGGTTTTGGATTTTAAGTGGCTTGGGAGGCTGGGATTACGGGATTTTTGACTGAGAGGTTTCGCTGTTTAAAAGAAGTTTGTGTTGAAGCTTTGAGCCTTTGAGTTTAAAGGGTTCGGTGGCAGGTGTTTAGCATCTTGGGCTTTGGATTCCGATTTAGTTGGGAACCAAAAGGGAGATGTTTCAAGTCCAGCTTGATGGGTCGAAGAGCGTATGGAAAGAGCCGTGCACCGGTGGTCTCTTGATTTTGGGTACCGAGGGCCTTGGTACATGTCGGTTAACGTTGACACAGTCGCAACCCCAAGAAGAACTATCTTCGTACACAAGTGCCCGGCATGCAGACAATAATAAGGTCTGTGGTGGAACCTGCAGCTCACTTCAATAGCATTGTGGGGTAATCAGAGTTCGCACACTCACGCCGACAGTCGCAGAACTTCGAAAGTACTCATGGTATGTGTATCCTGACGGCGAAACCTTTTGGCACCTTCAGGGTAAGTCGCTTCAAAAAGTTTGGCATGCAATGTCCCACTCGGTGTTTAGCAGGTTTCAGGGTTTGAGCCTTCGGTTTCCCTGTGCTTTTGCAATCCGCATTGAAGCCCGGAAGCAAAGCTGCACTGCGAGCCATGTTCGTTCCAGCAAACTGAGAGGTGCTGATGGCCAAGTTAGATTCCGACGAAGAGAGCGAGGTGTCAGACCAGCAGCTTGCCTATCAGTTGGACTGGGTCTAATGGTTAGACGTCAGGGCGTTGCTGTCGTGGCTACAGCTGCTTGTTAGCATTTAAGCCTTCCGTGCCTCTTCCAACTGCTTGGCCAAGCCCCCTCGAGCCACCGAAAACTCGGACTCCTCAGACCAGCACTGAACACGCCGTTGAAGTGTCAGTGCGGAGTGTGCAGAGTTGTCGCATTTCGCACCAGATATCTCGCTCGAGTGATCTGGCTTTGCAGAAGCTGCGGGGAGGTCAAGCAGACATGGACTAGATGCCGCATGCTCGCGCAGTTTCGGTCGATTGTTGCTGCTACTGCCACTGGCACGACCTATACCTCCCAGGCTCAAGGTTTTGAAGGTCAAGCCAAGAAGACGTGACAGCCATTGACAGCAAGGACCTGTGAGAATAGATCGCAGACACTGCGTCCGCGATTTCTCTAGTCAATCGCGTCACCTGCTCAGACGTCTGCTGGTTGATTTGCCCCGAACGCCCAGTCGACTGGACCATGCTCTGATCTGCGTCGTTCCTGTCTGCGGCCCCCAACATGTTAAATGGCAGGCTTGAAAGCAGCACAGCCAACTACCCAAAACGAGAGTAGCAGAGGCTCGGCATTCGCGGCCTACCGACCGTGATACTTTTCGACAAGACCGGCCAGGAGTTCGGGAAATTGTGTGGTGTTGGATAAAAGTGAAGGTTTTACATGGTTTTACCGTTTCGGATTTGACTGGCGACACCTACCCGATAACTTAAACCGTATACTTAAACCCTAAAGCCAACCAACCAACCAAAAATCACAAGCATCAGAGCCAACAGTCTACACTATCCTAAACCCTAAACTAGTTATACTAAGCTCGAAACCTCTTGCGCAGTGGTCGGCTACACAGCCCTTGAGGAGAAGAACCGTCTCGAAGGCGCGATGGTCGAGTCACAGCGCCCTGGCCTCCATACTCTGCACACACCCTCCGACCCACCATGCAACCCTAAACCTATACTGTTAGATCCTATATGCCTTCATGAACCAAGAACCCCTCCTAAGCCCCCCCCAAAGCCCTCAAATTCTCCCCCCCCCCAAAAAAAAACAAAAGAAAACGGATGTGCCCTGTAGCCCTGCTGAGCCATTCGGAGGAGGATTCTGCTGGGCCTTTGTGCTTTGAATGCTCCTGGGGGCTCAAGGGTAGGTTCCGGCATCCCCGCATCCCGAACCACTGAGATGGAGAAGGGGATGGGTTGCCGGTTTAGTTTTTATATGATAGGTTTTGGGCTCGTTTTTGAGGTCCTTATAGCATCTGGATTACAAGGCTTTGTGGGGTTCGATAGGCGGTTCCATGGGGTTTTGAAGGCTTCATGTTTGAGCATTCGGTTGGAAAGCTGCAGTCAAGGCTTTGACACTTTGCAACAGTTATTGTTCTTTCAAGGATACTACGTAAACCCTAAACCCCTAAACCCTAAACTTGCGGGTGTGCACGAAAGGAAGCTCTGTAGAACCTGACTGGGATCCGGCTACTCTTTCCAAGCCCTTGTCGCCTCAGGATCATGAACTTTCTCTCAGACGTGCTCGAGTGACATGGACCTGTGTGTATGCAGTGGCAGAAAAGATGCAGCTGTCGTCCGACGGGGTTTGTGTCAAAGCTATGGGTCATTTTGCTGGGAGTCCCCGCGTTCATTCGATTTTGTGGAAACTTAAGGTGTACCGTACCTTCCTTGCATTCGTCGGACGGTTGCCGTCGAAGCAGCACCCTGAGAGGAGAGAGGTTTCAGATTTCCTTGCTTCCAGACATTAAAGCCTCACAGCACCCCACTCAATTCCTTTTTTTAAGTCTCTTAATACAGCATTGCGAGTGCTCTCAGACATGATATGATGGTGGCTGACTCAGGGCTCAGGCTTTCGGGGCTGTAGGGTTTTAGGGTGTGACGGACTTACAGGGCAGTCTTGTCCAGCGGCGTCAAGAAAGGTTTTAAGCGGTTCCCCTGCTACGCACACTGTTGCGAGTTCGGTCTTCCCGTGCCAGGACCGTCCTTATTGTGCCCTCAAATACGGGTATATGGCCCCAAATAATGGGTACTTAGGGTCTAATAGTGGGTAGATGGAGGGTCTAGGTGGTCTCATCATATCAACGCTTTCGGTGCGGCACCCTCTGACTCTGCAAGGCTCTCCCGTTTCTTCCTCGCCTGAGTGAGGAAGCTTTGCCAGCCCAAGCATTGCAAAAGCTCGGGACCACTGAAGCACAAGTAGTACACGGAGTGTGTGTTTCCCCTACCATCGCGGTGAAGGTTGTCGACATTCAACGCAAAACCGCATACTCTAACAGAAAGCTGAGTATACCGCAAATGCGGCAACAAAAGCACGTGCACGCATGCACGCACGCGTGCAATCCCTAGCAGACAGCAACATCACCTACAGTAGATTTCAGACATGTAGCCACAATGTAGCCTTTCATTTGTGCAGATACCGACATGTTCGTGAACGGATGTGTGGACTAGTAGCTAATTAGTACTGTAAGGATGAGAGAGTGGAAAGATGATCAACCAGACTGCAGGTGCGCTTGCGAACTACTGGTATCAGTTGGCTAACCTGCCCATTCATCGATGTGTGAGTCAAATTTGTGTTATCCGATTGTCCCGACCTTGGGTTCGCATTTTGGTATCCTTGGTTGTAGACTCTAAGAAGTATAAGGTTGCAGACCCTGAGTCTAGGCATGTTGGTCGAGGCAAGAAGCACTCACTTTCAGTGAAATCGGTAGTTATGCAGTAACCGTCTCGAGCACGTTCGACAGTGTCTTAGACGGTACTTTAATGTAAGAGTACGTATTACGTAGTAAATGGGCAGCCAAGACGTAATGTTGACCGGCATCATTTGTAGGGAGCACGGTAGATCGGATTGCAGCTGAGGTTGTTCAGGGTCCACATTTGCAAATCCCAGGGTGCCATTGCATCCTGGCGAGCAAGGCCAATGGGGAATATCTTCTGGCAGGGACACTCAGAGAGGCCGCAGTTGCATAAAGGCATAAAGTAATGCTGTGGCATGGAAGGAAAGGTGGTAAGTGGGGCTCTGTTTGTCCACCTCTTATCTTACAGTCCGCCTGTATGTCTGTCTACAGTCTACATGTCTGTGCGTCTATCTACCGATGTGGTTAAGTATGCACCTGTCGATCTGCTTCTTGACCCATGTGATTTTATATGTATACATACACAACGTATGTATATGCCCATGTATTCGCCTTTAAAACGACGTGCTTTTTCACTCACTTGATGCACGCACACTCACACAAACACAAGCACACGCACATGCACACGAGATACAGCATCGCACAAACGGCAAACAAACACAGGAACAACCACACACACGCACACACACGCACGCACGATCTGTCTGTGTAGGTGATTGTCTGCCTGTCTATCTATGCATCTTTCTGTCAGTACTTTCTGCGTACATACATACATTTTGGCATACATACTTACTGAGATGCTTACATATTTGCATACGTGCATACACACATGCGTACAAACATGAACGGTATCTTTCTATTGTATGCTTTGTGCGCATGTACATGCATGAATGTAAAGAGGTATGGATGCATGGATGCCTGGACCCATGTATGTATGCACGTATGTATGCATGCATATATGTATGCTTGCATGTATGTATGTACGTAAGCACGTCCGTTTGAATGCATGTAAGTTTGTGTATGTATGTATGTATGTATGCATGCATGTGTATGTGGTTATATATCTAAGTACGCACATATGCATGTACATATATGCATGTACATATGTTTGTGTGTATGCAAGCATGTATGTACGTATGAATGTATGTATGTAGGTAGACATGTATGTGTATGTATGTATGTACGTGACTACATATACATGTGTGTAATGCATGTATGTAACGTATGTATGTATGCATGCATGTATGTGTGCATTAGTGTGCACATGCATGTACGTTTGTATGTGTTTATGTATGTATGCCACGTAGGTCTGTATGCGCATGTGCGTATGTATGTATTGCATGCGAGTGTGCATAGATGTATCAATGCATGGTTAAGCGGATGAATGTCGGTGCGTATGTGTGTATGTACGTATGCATGTATGCATGCATGCAGACAGGCAGGCATGCATGTATATATGTATGCGTGTGTATGGATGGCCGTGGTTACTGTCTGTTTGTGAGATGTGATATAGTTTAACAACGTAAAGACGTAACTAAAGTAATGCAATGGTAGAGAACGTAATGCAAGGTAAGGTAAGGTGAGGTAAGGTAGGTACAGTACCCACATGGAGACAAACACAGCAATCACACATGCATCCACGTATGTGTATACATGTATACACATGTTTGTATATGTACAATGTCTATACCAGATATGAACAATATTCATAGGTGCACATGCTCACACATACAAGGGCATACGTGTCCACCCACGCCCTCTGACACCTGTTGGCACTGCTGCCTCTCTGCTGAGTGGTTCTTGGAACATGACCGGAAGGAGCATAGTCCATCCGTGCGGGTGTCTGAGTACACGCGCTCAAAGGGCACTTGGAGAGTGCGACCCTATCTCTAGAGCGGCTGTCGTGGTCTTGGCCCTCGGAGCTAAGTCTAAATCATCTAGGCGAGGCAAGTTCAGGATTTGAGACTGACCCTCCAGGGTTCCCCATGTACTATGACTTCGGACGAAGCTGACGACCAACATCTACCCTGAGTTGGCGGATACGGGATCAATGCCGTCGTTAAGCCGTTAAGTGGCCGACGTCCACAGCAACAGCCTTGAGGCAAACCATGCCCCGAGCATCGATTCGAATTTTGATTCCTCCCGGCTGTCAGGCTCGACATCCACACCTTTCCCTTACCTTTGGTTAGTAGGGAATGGAAGAATGGTAGTAATAGTAGAGAAAATTGTACCCCATTCCTCCATTTCCCTGCTAACTGAAGGTAAGTTCCTGAAGCATGTGCTCTCAACCAGTGACATGGCGACCTTTGCACTGTGGATGCGGCGGCAGATGACCCTGGCTGGACGCATTCTCCTCATGGAGACGGTGGCATTGGACTGCCATCTGACGACGTGGCAGAAAGCAGGAAATGAGTGGTCTGCTTGACGGTAGCAACAGTGGCTGTAGTTCACAGATACAACTAGTTTACACTCCCAGCCCCCTTCAAAGCTTGTATTTGCCCCTAGTTTCTTGCCACTGGAGTTCTCTGTCGGCCGTGGCACTTGCAGCCGCTGGATCAAGGGGTGACGAGCATGGAGGCGAGGATGAAGACAGCTCAGATTTCCTGATCCAATCCCGGAGAAGCCTCCCCCAAGGAACATGAAAGCCAAGCCTCCCGCCCCAACGCTCTCCGTCAGGCGATCCCGGAAAGGGATCACTGGCCAGCAGGGCCTCTGGGAGTGGGACTATTCATGCACACGTCAAGGTGGATGTAAGCACTATTTTCCAACCGGTAGCAGGTTGCCGCCGTAAAAGCCTGCAGGGTTTAGGTCTCAAAGGCTTATATGTGCTTGGCGATGGAACCCTCGCTTCAGGAACAGGAGCTCGCCGATCACACAGCCCATCACGAGCTGATGTAAATTTGGCCATCATCGTACGAAATCGCAGATAGCCAAATCCCGAGACGAGCAACATGGAGAGTAGTGCTCAAATTTGCGGGCTGCTTGCTGCGAGCCACAAAGCTTTATAAGGATTGCCTATATGGCTCGGTAAGCTACTAGCTCTTATCGAAACCGTAACAGTCACGGCCAGAGCTTCTTAGAGTTTCCCCATGTTTCGTCCGAGCCTGGCCGCTGCTGTAGCACGGCCGCGTGCTCATTCCCACGAGTGAGAGTTTATGTTTGGGGTTCCGAGCTTAGGGTTTAGGGTTTAGGAATTGATTAGCAAGGTGCCCCTTCGGAGCTTGCAATAACACGCACAAGAAGGCAGATGCCAATCTAAGATACCGCGCATCACAGACTAGAGCTTGCGATGTTTTATTTCGGCATGTGCCCTCGCCTTGTATGGGCATCATTTTACTTCGGCAGTCGAGTCACATCAGAGTGTATCGGTCCGGCAGCACCCCGAAGTGGTTCGATAGCTTTTGGGTGCATCGGGCAGGTTGAACCCGTCCTCAAAGCTTGAATTGCAAAGTGTGCACTAAATTCTTTTGCGCATGTAGCCCTTATACTCCGAGGTTTAGGGTTTAGAGTATACCCTGATGAACCCTATAAGCCTCCCGTGAAGCCCAAGACTTGCTTTGTCCCAAACACTTACCATTATCTCATTTAAGCTGATCTGAAGCGGAGGGCCGAAGCCAACTCGTTGCCCCGATCCGATGCACGCAGATGCACAGTGCCCTTTTAGGGCTCATGCTAAGAAATCTGAAAAATCCTACCTTAATGTAAGATTGCTGCGGGAAACTGAATGAAGCATATCGTAAGTCTAGCATTGACATTGGAGCATCAGGTAGGATGCGTCTTCAGGTCTTCCACCACGCCCACGTGGCCAGGGTACGGCAGCGACGGGACCGTTCGGAGCCTCAACGTTCAGTCTCTTATGTGCACAGTTGGTTCGGGTTCCAACATTCATTCGACACCTCGTCAACGAGGACACGACTGCAACACACGCCGCTCTGAACCGGGCGATGATGCTTGTTGCTTTGTTTAATTTGCAACTGAACCTTTCTAACCCGCCATCAACCGTTCTGCCGCTTCAAGAACCCTAAATCCAAGCATGCGTGCAAGATACACTACTCAAGAGCACGATACACTCCCAGCATCTTGGTCAGCTTAAAACGATGCTCTACGTCCATGCAACCTGCGTGTATCCGGATCGGCTGCCGGCATTCATACCTTTTCTGCGGTGATTAGTGGGCTGTACCTTGTGATATTGTAGGTCCTCTGGGCGATCCATGGCACATGCAATATTGTTGTTGCTTCACCCTGAGCATAAGCTTGATCAAGTTGTGTCTTTCATAGTTTTCTGCAGCAGTGGCGGTCCTACTGACAGTACACAGTATCATCTCCTAGTCTGGAGGCCTGCTCCCCAAACCGAGGGATAAGTGATGCACGAAAGCCTAGAGCTCTGGCCACGGCCCATCCGATGCCCAGGTCGGCAAAGTCTACAGCTCCACGGGCCCTCGAGCCGCTGTGCCTGAGGCCCAGGTAAAGAATCACAGGGACGACAACGATGACCTCAACGACGAGG